TCTATCAATTTTTGTACTCAACTGGGAAAGCTAAGCCATTCAAAATTACTTCCTTTTTTCCCTCCCGGCCAAACTTGTGTCTTCTCTCTTAAACTTAGGAAAGATTTCTTTTCAACTGCACAGCAGACCTGCCTACATGGGTAACAATATGTTGGGGAAGAGTTAAAAGCTCACTGGAGTATGAACTGGGAGTATTTTGGTCCATTGTCATATTCCACTAAGGGGGCAGATCTTCAGAGATGTATGCTGTGGACGACAGGAGGGCTTCAATACAAACAGAAGCCCCAAGGAGCGTTGGTCAAGCGACAGTAGCTTGTAAGGCTGGAGATGAGGATACTTGGCACTATATAGACTTTTAAATGATGAAGCCCTAAAATCCTAAAGCAATGGTTCTCACCACTTCCTAATGCTGCAACTCTTTAATACAGTTCCTCATGTTGTGGTGGCGACCCTCCCCCAACCACAAAATTATTTTTGTCGCTACTTCATAACTGCAGTTTTGCTATTGTTATGAATTTTAATGTCAATAGTTTGTGGAGATAGAGTTTTGTCAAAGGGGTCACGACCCCCAGGTGGAGAACCGTTGTGACCTAACGGGTCTAAATGTGACTCACAGTAACTGGAATCTCATGTAAAGGATTGAAGCTGAACTGCTCCTTCTGAATACCTGAAACATATTTTTCACTTAGGGAGAAACCCAATCTCGTTAGACTGAGGAGGGAGCAGTCCAACTACCGCTCAGCTGCTGCTCTGGGACAGAGGGAGGAAGGCTTTGGTCTCTTTCTGGGCTAGCACTTGGCATGACTTGCTGCCTCACTTTCACTCACACCATGTAAACCCACACCAGTCATAAGAAAGTGAGACCCTTCCATCCTCCGGTTGCGAAGGGGGAGGAAACCTAATCCGGACCTCGTAACGTTTTATTATGTTTGTGAAGAGTTTTCTTTCCTTAATCCTGGAGACTGTGAAACAAAAAAATTGTGACATGCCAGTAGTTTATTTGTTAAATTAAAAAAACAAACTGTTGCTGTTGTGGTATGACTTTCAAATGGCGTTAATACAACAAACTCAGTCTTAGAATTCAAATGAAGTCAGTGGTCTTGACGGGGGACACCCACTAGAAACGGTAGGAGGGTAGTGGTGGCACCCACTGTTTGAAACTGCATTCCTTTTTGCAGTGCGTCTTCTAGGGTCCAAACTTAACTGCACTGCAGACCAGGCCTGAGCAGAGCAGCCTGGGAGGGATCAGCTGAGCTGGGGTGAACATCTTAGTAGATACTATGAGACTATGAGACATCCGCCACTCAGCTGCAACCAGCCACAGTTATTGGGAATGTGAACCCACATAGCCAAGCCAAGACTTTAGATATTTTTTTTAAGTGAAATCCAGAATAAAAACTTTGGTGTGAACTCCTCCAAAGTCTAGAAGTCGGCAACTCGTTTGTTGCTGGATTCTGTTTTGTTCACCACCACCACCACGACCACCACCACAACCACCACGACCACCACCACCACCACCACAACCACCACCACAACCACCACCACCACCACCACCACCACCACCACCACCACCACCACCACCACGACCCCTGCATTTTTTTAGACACTACTAGGATCAAACAAATCCCACCTTTAGGACAAAATTGGCCTTGGCTCATGGGTCTCCGATAAGTACTCCATGTTGCTCGACTTTCTGTTAGAGAATATAGGTCATCAGCTGGGAAAGGGGTCTCTGGGTTGGTGGGATGAGACTGAGGAATAGGAGAGAAAAATCAACCAGAGTTCAGCTCGCTTTCTTGTCTTGGGCCGTTGTTTGAAGCAGCTGCCTAGACAGACCTCACTGCCCCCTATCCCTATGCCTTGAAAGGTGATGCAGATGCCCAGTAGAAAGGCTCATGAGAGGGAGAGAGCAAATAATGACCACAGGGACAACTGAAAAGAAACAGCTGGGAATGTGGCCAGGACTGAGAGACTCTGGGGATTTCCACACATTAAAAGTGAAAACATAAATACATTCAAAATAACTTGAGAGAAAGAGAAGCATCGAAACTACAAAGAGGAACCGGGTTACACACAGAATAAGTCATTCTTAAAGGAGATGGCTCTGTAGGAAGCCAAGGAGTGTTCAGATGCCAAGGCTTATTATCTTCTGGCCTGTAAAGTCACGAAAATCTCATACACACACACAGAGAGAGAGAGAGAGAGAGAGAGAGAGAGAGAGAGAGAGAGAGAGAGAGAGAGAGAGAGAGCTGGCAGGCCAACCAACCCAGCTACCACCTAGGCCCAGAACCAGGACTGTGAGTTGGCCCACCCAGCATCCACCCTATCTGTGATCTACTGGAGCGTGTGAAGGACCTAGTCCAGCAGGTCCAAAGCTGCAGCTTCCACCATGAAATTTTATTTCTTTTTCTTTTAAATTTTATCTTAGTTGGGTTTTTTTTTTTTTCTGAGTAGGGGAAGGTTGCAGGGTAGAGGGCAGAGGCCAAAGGATGAGGAGATGAATGCAATCAAGAGGCATGATATGAAATCCACAAAGAATTAATAAAAAGTCAAAAAGAAAAAAAAATAAAAGAAAATCGCATCCCTACGCTTCAAGGGCAAATAGAAAGATTTTATATTTGCTTTGATGTGACAATTCATATTATCTTCTCATTCCGTTCTGCTAGCCTGGCTACATTTACGGGAACGTTGCCCTTTCTACTGTCAGAACACCAAAAAGGGGCCACTGACTACTTGTTAATTGGGTTGCCTAAGGCATATTCATCTGCAATTTGTATTTCATCCTGTATTTCTGTGCAATTAAAGATCTGCTCAGTTTCCACATCTAGTATATGCCTTTCTTCATTGTTTTCTTATTTCTGTATTCTCTGTGATCCTGGTCCATTACTGTCCTATCCTGAACTCTCTCTTCATATTGTACAATGGTATAATTATGACAAACATAAAACCAATCCTCTTACCTAAGTCCTTCTCCTTCCCTTGCCACAGTCCTGGATCACCAGATGTCATTTTAAATGCGACAGATAGAGTCCATCCAAAAAGCAATGAGGGTGCTTCTTGCTTCCAGCTGCACCTGGCCGAAACACACAGTGTCACTGAAGCCATGGACATGGCTTGTCGATCCACAGTTCATCACAGAGGTGCAGACTGAGGGGAAAGAGTGTAAGCTGGAAGACAGGCTATTCACGAATGAGCTGAAACCCACAGTCTCGTCTGTCTCTGAACCCGTGTGTGTGTGTGTGTGTGTGTGTGTGTGTGTGTGTGTGTGTGTGGAAGGAAACGTCGTCGCTATCAGTAATTTGCAAGTACAAGGGTGTATGCTTTCCTCGGCAAAGCTCTGAGGCTTACAAGGAAAGGCATGTGCTTTCACTTCTAAGCACTTGGTTTCCAAACTATATTTTAGATTTTTTTTATCAACAATAAAATGTCTTGTTTTAAGTTTTATTTTTACAAATGCAGTATTTTCTTTGAAGCCATGATTTCAGAAGAACTGCATCCATATGTCATAAATAGATCATTTTTGTTTGAGTTTGAAACAACACCCTAATCTGATCTTGGATAGTTCTTTATTGTAATTAAGTCTGTAAGCAAGGCCTGTGTGGAAAGGGAGGAAGAAACATGGAAAATTAAATTAGATCATAGGTTTGAGGTGTGATTTTTTTCCCCCTGTGGCATAGCTGTACCATTTTCATGACTTAAAAAGGAGAAAGAATCAAAATCTTTAAAACGAGGTGCTTAGGATAAGAGTGTCCTTTCAAGAAAATAAACCAGTTACCCAGAAATGTTGGCACATGCTTGTAATCTTTGGAGGCAGAGGCAGGAGAATCACTTAAGTTAGAGACCATTTGGGTCGACAAAGTCCCAGGCTGGCCAGGACTTTATAGCATGATCCCGTCTCAATACCATAAATGTAAAAGCCGGCTTAGGCTCTTGGTCTTGTATGAAGGAGCTCATTTTCCTCCGCCTAGATGCGCTGTCACTGTTCAGTAATCTTTTCATTTAGCAAGACACACTTTCACGACAGAATCCAAAGAGCAAGCCACAAACCACTTATGACACTCACATGTGGATACCTAAGACAATTTGTGTAATAAAAGAGGCATACGGCAGAAAACAGAATCCTTTTTTCGGCGTCTGAGAGCTGACAGAGGATAATTGCACTCCAAGGCACCACTAGGAGATCTCTATTTCTGTTCTTGACATGTGTGGGTACCACTGCCACTGCCAATGGTGATGATGATAAGTGATGGGAAAATGAAGCGGGAAGTGATGCCGCTTACCCTGACAGATGTAAAGGATTGCCACAGGCATCCCTGGAGCAAGTGCTGACGGGGGACATTCTGGTGCCTGCACCAGGTCACTCTGGTGCTGTCAGTCAGTGCTGCTTAAAGCAGAGGCCATCCCAATAGCTCAATTCAAAAATAGACAAGCCCCACCTCCTTCCGTGTCCTCCTTGCCTCTCCTTTTGAATTTGAGATTCACCCCACATTTTCTGAACTAACCATTGCTTTTGGTTAGTTGGTATCTGCCTTGTACCCGTGTGATTACTATGGAGATGTCGTGATCATTGCTCCATTCGCATCAACCAAGAATATATGCCCACAGAAAATACCTGAATACAGTTTCCCCAACAACGCCCAATATATTGTCTTTCCATAAAACCCAAACGTTCACCCAGTGTATGATAAGGGCATGGGCTTCATTGAAAGCTGACATTTATCATAGGGGAAAACTCTGACCCAGGTTACTGCCCAGGAGAAGATAAGTACAAATCAAGTAAAGCAAAGGATTATGGGTGCTCCCTGGCGAAGCAGAGCTGAGGACAAAAGGAGCTGTGCTCAGGGCTTTTGGAAAGCCTGACTTTGTGGGGAGGAAATGTGCCCCGGGGCAGGGCTATTACCCAATTACCTTTCCCGATTTTGTTTGTTCAAATGGGGATAATACTTTTCGTTATAAATAACTAACCTTTGGCCTTTCTTCTCTGCTTCTGCCCTATCCAGGAAATTATGAGTATTTGACCTTACTCAAAATGTACAAAGAAGAATAATGGAAGCCCCTGAATACCTTGATTTGGATGAAATTGACTTTAGTGATGACATTTCTGTAAGTATCACTACCTACAAGCAATGTTTTCACACTGCTCCGCCCTCAAGCTTACGCGCTGATTCGTTTATACTGACTGTATTTCCACAACTCCCCCAGCCACGCTGATGAACTGAAAACAAGCTGAGGAACAGACACAGTGTATGGTTTGAAGGCGGGGCTCTCTGGGCTTATGGAAGACTGATGCCTAGTTGTGTGTGAGCTGGGGGCGGGGGAGGGGTACAAGACATTCATCCTTGCTTAGCATTCCATTCCTAAGGCGTGCTGAGGTTGTTTGAAAATTACTGATGAGTCTGTTTGTAAAGCTTCAGCATGTGGACTTAACTGTTCATTCCCAGTTTCCTTGTATGTCTGTATCACAACTAGCATTCTCTCAAAATCCATAGGAACACAGACTGAAGCCAACCTGACATGTAATTGATGAAAAACAAAGGGAGAGGGGTCGAGAGATGGCTAAGCAGTTAAGGTCAATCACTGCTCTTCCAGCGGATCTGAGTTCAGTACCCAGCACCCCTAGCAGATGGCTCACAACAGCTTGTAACGCCAGCTCCAGGGCATCCAACACCCTCCCCTAGCCTTCGTGAACACTACCCTCATGTGCGCATGTATGTGCATACACACACACACACATACAAAAAACAAAAATAAATATTATGATAAAGGGAAACTTTCCAGTCATTGAAAACAACAAAACACAGACTGGACACTTGGGAATACTGACAAATCAGGTGCTGAAGATCAGATCAGCTGACCTCTGAGGTCCTATCATTCCGAAGCACTGGGCTGATGAGTCCCTCAGGTCCACTAACACTCAAACCCTGCAAGTGTCCGAGCACATTATCTACATGTGGCTTGCCTAGAGCTGCATGCGATGTATCCCATGCCATGCCGTCAGTTCTGATACCCAGCAACATGTTGGCACGATCACCCTGGGAGCTCATCGCTTCTGAGCTCATTTTCTTTGATCTCTCTGGGCATGGAGCTTTGGGTCATCATTGGATGTTGCCCCCCAAACAGTGGACATGCTTCGACATACATCTGGCTAGAAGTGGATTCCTATACTCCTCACCGTGTATACCCTAACTAATGGGGACTTTGCATGACAGTTGGATTGTAGGCATAGATATGGTAAATCGTCTCCTCAATACGGTCCTGGATCTTTCTGGTTTTGAACTAGAAAAATAGTCCCTTGTTATTGGGCTTATTCTTACTTTTAGTTAACTTTTGTTGGTCCTTATTCAGACCCAGATCCTTATTCAGACCCACGTGAAGTAAAAGTCCTCTTTTCCATGATGTGTGGATGCCGATCAGTCACGGTGCTTGATTGAGAAAGTCTTTAGAATGAGCTTCTTTTGTGACTCTTCCTCTCGAGGTATTTGGATTTGAATGTGAGCCAAGAAAGTGAAGGATAGTATAAAGATTTGTTGGGAAGTTGGAAGATGTAGAACAAAAGAATGTGTACTCATTAGGAGTTTGGTGGAAGTAGTTCTTGAGGTTTTTTTGATGGCGAAGTTGATGTTTGAGAGCTGTTTTTGGTTTTGTTTTGTTATTTTTGTTTTTTCTTTTTCAAGCAGTTTAGTTGTTTATTTGTTTTTCTGTTTGCCATCTTAGGGACAGAACCTACTAAATTACACATTCTAGGTATGTGTTCTACAACGCCTAACTCTTGGTTTTCTTAGACAAGAGTGTCATGATGTAGCCCAGACTGGCCTTGAGTTTACTATCTCCAGCCTCAAACACTGAGGCAGGCAATTACACAACCATTCAGGTCGTGTTTTACAAGAGCAGGCTTTGAACGGACCACCAGCCCAGGCTCCTGGTTTCTTCTGCCCATTGGCTGGGTGATTTGGAGCACATGAGTCTCACTTCCCTGAAATACTCATCTAACTTTTTAAAATTGTTTTAAGGTTTGGGTGAAATGATAATATATGTGAAACACTTAGCTTGGCACACAGCTCTTTAAAATAGTAGCTTTGTTATTGTTTCAATGAATAATACAATAATATTTATCTGACCAATAGTGGATAAAGAACTCGAGGGAAAAGACCAGGCATGGTGTCAAGATTTTCTTTTAAGTACAACAGAGCAGTTGTATTTACAGAAGAATCACTGGCAGCAGCCCATAATTTTGATGAATTAGGAAGCTCTGCTTGAAAGATAAAATGTATTAAGCAATAACCGAAGCTGTTTAGCAAATAGGGCTACAGGATTATGCAATGGTTGAACCTCTCTGACTTGACCACTCTGAACTATAAATTCAGATTTCCATCAGTAGGAATGTACCTTCCCCGAGAGTTCCCTTTTATGTAGGCTCCAATGTTTGGATCTTTGACTTGCATTAAAACTTAAACCAGGTTTGAACTGGATAGCATTGACAAGACAGTAATGGCTAACGCTAATTATGTCCTATGGGCCAGGCCACATATGTTTCATCCTCACACTGATCCTATGGAGAAGGGATTGTAGTCATCTTCCTTTGACAGATAAAGACACCAAAACATTGAGACCTTATATCTTGCCAAGGATCTCCTGGTTAGTCAGGAGCACACTTTTTCCAGAATACTCACTTCCTGCCTTAATCCGATATGTAGTTTATTGCAATAATTTACACCAATGGCAATTTTTCTGCCCCTGTTTCCCACCCATGAGCATTTGGTGATACCCAGTTTTCACTGTCATACTGGGAAGATGCTACTGCCTCTGGTGGATAGAGACCAGGAAAGCACAGCCTACGGGAAAGCCTCCTCAACAGAGGATCATCCAGCCCAAAACGTTGACAGCCTGAAGGGTGAGGTGTCCAAGTCTACTGCAATCCCCCTTGAAACTGGAGGAGCTCTATTTAGCAACCTCTCCAGCGTTAGATTGTTTTATCATAATTCAGTATGATCCGAGTTTAATACCCTAACCCTGACAGAGCTCTACTGTTCATAGTTAATGATTTCATGGAGAAAAAGTGAAGACCAACTCATAAATAGTGAAGTAAGTGTTCTCGGCCTGTTTCAGTAAACTGGGAACACTGGCCATCGAGGCTGCTGCCCGAGAGCGTCTCCAATGCTGAGGCTCAGAAAGGAACTTGTCTCCCAGCTGCTAGTTCACCGATGCGGAGAATGAAGTTTCCCATGAACGTGCTTTTATTTTTGTGGATTGCACAGACCTCTCTCTCTGCTCCCTTTTGCTCTTTCCTGATGCAGCGGCAGAAGATGATGGTGGGGAGTCCAGGCAGCATTTGGAAAAGATGTTTACAAAACTCATGCTGGGGTTTAAGACTCCTCTCCTTACCCTCCAACTATAGTCCAATTATGTAGGTTGGGCTTTGTATTCCATGGTTTTTCCCTCTGGTCAGGGGACTGGTTCTTGTTTTAATTAAAACACAAGCTGTATATTTGTGTAGAAAAACAGCTAGAACTTTCTGTCTTTATCTAATGAGACAAAACACAGAAGGCAACCAACTTATTTTGAAGTTCTCCAGACTTGAAAATGATGGGTTTCCCCTGTAAAATGCAAGGTTTCAACGGTACATCCCTGTCTCCCTGCCATCTGAGGGCAGAGTGCTATGCCCAAGCTGTAGCCCATGGGAGAGGGCACGTACAAACCTTCCTCTCCCAGCAAATGGGTTTACAGAGGCCTCTTTTATTCAGTTGAAAACCAGGCTCTCCTATCATCAAAACAAAAACAAAACCCTCCAGGGTTCTTAGGAACCATGGCATATTTATTTTATTCAGCAAAGCCAATTTTTTTTTCACAAAAATAGTATCTTATCCAGGACTGAATAAATAAAGCAGAGGCTGAACAGCAGAGAGGTGACGTATATCACACACAGTCACTGTCTGTCACACGTAGGTCCTGTCACACACACACAGCTGAAACCTTTCAAGTCAAGCCTCACAAAACTGCAAGAGACGGGTTCCGCTTTCATCCTGTGTCGCAGATTACAAAATGGAGACTTGGGGAGATCCTGTGAGTTCACGAGGTTACAGCCAGAACTCAGCAGGGTCAGGACTGGACTACAGAACTCCTTGACTCAGAAGAGGCCTGTGACTTTCTGAGAAATTTCTTTGAATGGAAGCACCTCTGCACCTCTAAACCTGTCACCCATGTCCATTTAGTACTGGTCACAAGGGACCTGGGTCCCCACTCCCAAAACCCTTTCTTTTACTACCCTGACGTTTCCCTGGAAGGTAACCAGGAACTTCATGTGGAGTCTTGATGCCTTAGTTCCTGCTTCATGGTTCCTATCAGCCATGTCCTTCCTAGAAGTTACCCTGTTCTTGGCCATAGTTAAACATTTCTTGGCACCGATTATGTGGTGTGGCCTCAGCAGCAATCACAATGCAACTACATTTTTTTTTTGCAGAGTTCTATTTGCTGTGTCTTACTTCTGAGTCCAAAATGCCTCTTATTCCTCATCTCTAGCCCCATGAAGTTCAAAGCATTTTTTCTTATTTCAACACCAGATGCCCTGCATCTCATTGTTTTGTAAGCACCCCTAAGAAATAGACAAGGGATTGTCTGATCCAGAAATGATGTGTTGTAAGTTTCTGACCTCAAGACTGGAACTCAGATCTCCTTCTCCATCTTGGCCCAAACGCTCACAGAGGAGAGGAACCTTAGCCAGAGGGTGATTTCCAAGAAGAAAGAGCAACCACCAGACTGATCTTTAATTTGCCTCCTTTTCTGAACTTAGCCCGTCGAGTCCTCTTCTTGGCTATACTGGGTAGCCACAGCATTTATTAGACTGGCTACACAGCTTATTTATACAAACTACTTGCTCATAGCTAACTGTTTTGCCAATCTAGTCAGCAAGTGTTTATTAAACATCCACAGTGTTCCAGGCACAGTTCTAGGTTTGAGAAAATAGTATAAACTTGGTCTGTGCGCGCAGGGAGTTTATGATGGCAAATAAACTATTCTATTTCATAGCATGTAACATATTTATTATAGCTGTGAAATGTCAGATTAACTTCATGGGAAGTCACATTTCAGTACCAATCACTCTTCCT